CAAGATACCCGTGTCCCCAAAATTGATATCGCTAATAGTTATTGGATATTGTTTGTGAAGTGTTTCTTAACATGCAGAATATTATACACGTTGCGATATTGCACGTGCAGATGTTCTTTGCGGAGATGCTTCTTTGTTACTCTGAAGAAGCATGACACGGCAGAATCTTCGACATATCGGGTCGATAACTTCGATGAGAGCCTCGTCAAAGTTACCGTTCGATAAGAGGAAAATCATGCTAGTGGCTTATTCCGAAAGTATATCAATTCGCGTCGATTGTGACGGAACGGGGTCGATGCTGGAACTTATGTCGATAAGTAATGCTATTACTTCTGCACTGTCTGCGCTTCGATTATGCTCTGGTCGTATATATACTGCCTTCCGGTGAGCGCGGATACGGCGTACCGATAAGATAAAAATCGCTCCCGGGTTCACCCTTTCTCGGACACATAAACACGCGAATTGTTCAGTCGTCTTCAATTCGAAACGATCGACACACTCATTTGCGCGTACAGGATGCTTCGTTCCTTTTGTGCATTACGTAAAAGCCGTTTGGACACGTGTAACTATGCACAATTCTCGTGGCCTTTATTGACCCCAGCCTTCGTTCGCTTTGACAATCTCGGCTGCTGCGCGTACGCCAAAAAGGCTTTGTAGGGCCGGCAATTCCGCTCTCGGAAATTTAGCGAGCGGTGTTCCGAACATTCATCAAGAGCGGAAGAGTGTTGTAATCGTATCCACCTCATTCGTGGCTTTATGGCATAAGCCGATTCGTCAAATGGGAAGCTGATCCGTGACCCAAAGGAAACTCTGAGTCACATTATTATTAGAAAATCCCGAAAGGTACTTTATTAATGCATCACTGTGCACGATGTTAATGGCACCAAAAGCAAAATCCGACGAAACTGTGAAGCCGCCCCGAATATGCCGAAACTTTCCACTTGCCGCGTTACCGTTTCTGTGTCGAGCACATTGTAAAACGCGACTGGTAATCCCGAAACTTCTTCATTCCAATTTTGCGCACGCCGAAACAAACTTGTTCCGACAATTTCATAAAAAGATAGTAACAGGATAAATTAATACCCGTAGACTAAGAGGATAATGGTGGCGGGAGGTGCAAAATCCGTGGAATAATAATATTTGTTCTCCACCGCGAAGTTCCCCGATGCAATTTTCGATGCGCTCCAATTGAAGAGTTCCGAAGGAAACTTATTTGTCCCGAACTTGTCCGAGAGCGAGATCCTACTTATAAATCATTTACGGCAAAATCGCGCGTGTACGAGCAGCGAGCTCTGCATGCAGCCTCTCGTCTCGATATTTCCGCCGCCGCCGAGTGGAGCAGCGCGCGATATAAATCACGGGCGCGGGTAGGTGTTATTTCCATGTAAGGGTAAAAGTTGCCGTTGTTAACTTCGAAACTCGAGTTCGCATCACCGTGTGCAATCGAAGTGCCGCGCTTCCAAGCGATTAATGGTAACTGTTGCGCGTACTGTACTTACTGCGAATGGGTCGATGCACGCAAATGCGAGGGTCCGGAAAAGCTATCCGCCGGATAAACTAGACAGAACAGTGACTATGGGAGCAGTATCGACGTGAGCACCGCATTACTTCCCGTCGAACCCGTGGAAAACGTCTCGCGAGACAGGCACGGTGTTTATAAGGGATCCCGTAACGCCCGGATATCGCTTAGGAATCGACCGCATACCGTGGAGGGAGAACGCTCGTGCGCCACGATTCGCGGGACGAAATTGTTGCAGACGAACACATCTCGCCCGTCAACCTTTCCCTCCGAACCTTTCGCTACTTCTCTCCGGTTTTCTATCTTCTTCCTCCTCCTCCTTCTTCTCCTCCTCCCTCCCTTCCTCACTCCTACCCTTTGGATTTCTATAAAACGTCGGATGCAGTGTCTCCTTTTTTTGTAACATTGATAAATTGTCCGTTGATGGCGACACACACGCCTACCGTTACGTAAACGATGCAATAATGTTGTAGCCGGTGTGAACGAACTTACTAAAGATAGACGGTAGATCGATAGAAACTACGATAATGGCGCAGCTTGCGAAGTGTGAAGAGGAGAGTAAAACGGGCTTCATGATAAAACTGGTGGCTAGGCTTTCTTCCTTGGGAATCTGTCAAGAACACGTCACTATAGTGTGAAGAATTTCTTTACGAGTATAGAGTGATGAAAACGTTCACTCCACTTGACCGTTCAACCATTAAACTTTCGACATCGGAATTGTTTGTCGCCTTACATGTCGTATGGAAAAATTCATATCAGGACAGCGCTATCACGGAACTGTTTTAAACGGAATCCCATCGGAGTGGTATCGTTGGTCCCTAGACTTCTCTTATGTTTTCTAGTGAAAGTGAGATTATTATTGGGATCAATTTCCTCACAATATCTGTACCGTTATATTGTTCCCATATCACAGCAAAGATGAAATCTTGCGATACCACATTTTCGTTAAACACGATTACTCAAGCTCTCTCTTGTTTTTAAACGTCACGCTTTGCCAACTTGTCAGACATTGTGCGCGGACAGATAATTGTCGATTGGCGAACAGGAGAATGCTAACAGGTTTATCTAAATGCTCTAAACACTTGAATCTATATACGTCATTGGAGGTACAATGTTGACACTTCTAAACCTCGAGATGAATATTTCTTCAGATCGATATTTTTTAAAATCGTTCAATTTCTTATTTAGACTGGCAAACTTTCACATTGGTAGCGAACAACATTCGGTCGGTACTGTACGTCGATCGGTGCTGTTGTTACTGCTGGCTTTCTTATACCATTTTTTTAACATGCAACTCCAGCGAAACCCCATAGAGTCTCTTAGGTGTGTCTGTGAGAATAGTCTCACTCGATTTCAAGGAGAGATCCTCCATCACTTTCTCAAGTGTAATTAAAATATGGAGAACTTTCACACAGCCTAGCATATATGAAACATCACACCTTAAGTACTCGGCTGCCGCTCGATTATTTGTTCGATCTGATTCCGTCATTCTGCGGATTTAAGTACTTGCATTTCACCCGGTCGATGGAGATTTCACTCAAGCTTGATCTTCTGTTTTTCCACAATTATCGTCGTCATTCGGATCCGGATGAACGAGTCGCTCATGTTACGAGATTCGTATAATAGCGCTAGAAAAATAAATACGCAATCCAAGCTGTTTCCGTGTAACGTAGATCTGATATACAATGTGTCAATCATATTCTCAAATAGGAAATGTACATTTAAATACATAGAATTAGAAATGTTGTGCTTATTTCTCATGTCCAATTCATGTTAGACGACACACACTCTTACGTTTTTTACCTTGATTTACTTGAGCAGCAAGTTATCTAAATAATCAGGTGTACTAAAATGTGATTTAATCATAGGTAGAACTTTTTTTTAGTATTTCTTATTATAACGTGATATAAAAAGGGGTCTGTGAATATTTTTAAAATTTTTTAATCCCACAAAACCTCTCTCTTATCCCCTCTCTTATCTTATTCTTTCGTACAGTAACACAGAGTGTTGTCAAACCAATCATTTCAATTGCGTTTCTATGGTTGAACGCAATACATCTCTCAACCACTGTTCGGAGATCAAAAGCAGCATTGCGTATTATGTTGCACAAGGTTGCGCCACGTAGATATAAAACGTGATGTCTAAAGAAAGTCGGTCGTGTCGCCATTCTATTTTAGTACCCGCGATTTTGTAAAGAACATAAAATTAGGAAAAAAAAATGTATAAAGAATGAACCTTAATTCGAGAAAAGTGCTGGGTAATATTATTGACGGTGTCGAAGTAACCAGGTCAGCAGTCGATTGGGGCGGTTTTAATAAGAAAGTCGGTGGGAAACATTTTTACAAATAAAAAAGTAAAAAGATGCAAAAATGAAAAAATTCTTTTTAACGTAGATGTAATAATAATTATTATTATATAATTAAATATATATATATATATATATATTGTATTGTGTGTGTGTGTGTGTGTGTGTGTGTGTGTATACATATATACATACATACATACATACATATACACACACACACACACAATATTTGAAATATAATGTTAGAAAAAATAGAAATTAAGTTACGGAAAGATAAATGGTCTGAAAGTTTCGTAGTTCCCAAGAGGAGGGGGGAGAGAGAGAGAGAGAGTCAATTCTTGATAGATCGAAGTTGCGAATGACAGAGGTCATAGTGCGCGCAAACTCGTTACACACAGAAAGGATTGTATTGAAAATATTGAAGAGGACGCGCCGTCCTATAACAATAACAAGGTGAAATGTCGAGGTAGTAGTTGAAACAAGTTGGATGGAGTTGCAATCGACAGCACAAAGGATACGTTTGCAGACACGAGAACAGAGGCGACGGAGCGCGGGTTCTCTTCCTTCCTTCCTTCCGCGATACCAATTGTTACTGTACCGCCGCGTTTCGATTTGCTCAATGCAGCTTTTCTTAGAGTTATCTTGTCCCTTATCGCTTTCGCTTTCGCTTCTGCGACAGCAGCGGCATAAGGACTACCATCGACATTTATAGAAAAAGAAAATTCGTATCTCTTTTCTCACGTACTTGCATCACTCGCGTCAATTTACAAACGAAACTACTATTTGCGCCTACTACTTTTACGAAATAACTACTTTTACGAAATAACTATTTGCGCCTATTTCTGTTCCACGCGCGATATGTTTTCTTGCAGCATTTATACAGACTGCAGAGGAGAGGATTAAAAAATGTTAAGGATATATTTATCGCTGCTTTTTACATAATACATTTTATGTCAGAACGATTTAGATCGGGCTGTATGTCGAAATATATTCGTTAAGGACGTCGTTTTGATCGCCATTAGAGGAACTGCAGCAATACCTGCAGCAGCTATTCCAGCCGCTATCAGTCTGTCACTGCACATTCAGCAGCTACTCTTGCCGCAATTATATCGTCGCCATTCGCTACATCTGCAACAACTATTCTTGTCACAATTGTATTAACGTTATTCGCTGCACCTTCAGCAGCTATTCTTGTCGTAGGTGTTTCAGCGCCATTCGCTGCATCTGCAGGAACCGCCGCGGTGACAATTGTATCAACGCCATTTGCTGCATCTGCAGCAGCTATCTTGGGCGCGATTGTACCAACGCCATTCGTTGCATCTGCAACGGCTGTTGTCGCGATTCTAGTACTTCATCATCCGCGATCATTGTCGCGTCAGTTGCGTCAAATGCACCGGCTACCCTGAGTCCTCCTGTTGTTATTGACAAATATCAGAGTGCGACTTGGTTTGCAAAATTCTAACGTTTGTCACATTTATGTGGATTTATACATGCAATCGGCTCGTTTTGAATTGCATCAGTTTCAACGAATAAAAATACAACGAATCGTTCATTTTCTTTTTAATCTCATTCCGAAGATATCGGAAATGTGTTTCTATCGGGCGTTTGTTTTACCCGTGTACATACATAAAGTTGCTGCGAATGCATAGAATGTGGATTTTGCGGTTTTATCTGCAGAAGCAAGAATTTCATTCCTGGATTAAAATTAAGTGTCTCTCCTTGTGTCTTCTCTAAGATGAAGAAAAGAAATTGTTAAGTGACATCTGTATTTTTATATCGATAAACTGCGCGGTATCATTAGCTGATTACCAGTTGGACGCTAATTTCTGGCTAATTTCTTGAGAAGACACTTAAAGCAAGAAAGAATACGAGAGAAACTGCCGTCCCAGGAACCGCTTTCAAGAGCCTTCCGTGTCACCTCTTGCATCCGATACGGCTCTTCCTCGTCTAGCTCCGCACGAACACTAAACGATTCGATTTCACTTTTCAAATGTCCGATCTCTGTTACAATACTTTTGCCGAGGTAACTGATACGAAGGTAGATCGTTATTTTGGCATCGGTTTCTACTGCGTACTCTTCATCCTTGACTTTCGCGTTCTCTCCTATTAGCAAAGTGTAAGTTCCCATCGTGGACCTTAAATCACAATCACTGCGTTTTAGTAGACCCGCGGGATTGTGCTTAAGTAAAGTTCAACATAACGCCTAATTATGTCAAATTCGCTAATGACTTGGGACTAAATAACCCGAGATTTCCTTGTATATTTTTGCAATGCAGCTGCGACAAGTAAAGACACACGCATATCTTTAATGTCCGCTGTTTTTTCGACAGCTGCGGATAGCTACTATGGAATTGTTGGAAATCGATTCCGATTGTCGAAATCGATTCTGGGAATAATTGCGTTCTTCTTAGAAAAAAAATTGTTACGTATATATTAGAATAGACATCTGATTATTTCGATTAGAGTCATTTCTTAATTGCACCCTAGATTTACGTTATTATTTCTTTTTAGAGAAAAAACGCAATTATCGCGATCGGAAACCTTTCCGACAAGTTTCATATACTTAATAAACATTAACTATCAGTAACATAACATCAATGTTATAATTTCTTGCTCAACAATGTAAATGCAATGTAACGCATGTGTTATGTAACAGTTACATTGTTGATTATAACATTGATGTAATTTGACTGTTGGTCGATGTTTACTGGGTAACACCTGGTCTGTAGACTTATTCTGTAACTTTCTAACAGTATCATTAGTCGGTATCAAGATGTGTCGTGTTGTGTAATGCAACAATGATAGCAATGTCTTCAAAGATCTGTATCTGTTTATGTTAATAGATAGCTGACAAACAAAAGTGATCAAATGACTAAATCGAAGAGAGTCTTGGACTAGATAAATAGTCATTTCTCACATATCAACAACAGTCCTCTCTCTCTCTCTCTCTCTCTCTCTCTCTCTCTCTCTCTCTCTCGAAATTGTTTACAAAATGTATTCCCAATGATCCGCGTATGAGAAATGATTCTAATCTGTTACATTGTTATTCATAATTTCTATGCATTTTACACTTAATTAAAATTGTATAACTAAAAAATGTTATAAAATATTTAATGTTTATTAATATATTATAATTTCTCTCTTTTTTTCTCTCGCTCTCTCTCCCTTTGTCTCTCTCTCTCTCTCTCTCTCTCTCTCTCTCTCTCTCTCTCTCTCTCGACGATATTTCAATTTTTAGCTTTATCATACCTCGAAATAATCTGCCGTTTGTAGAAGTCCGACAAGTGTTTCTTCAATTTGTTCCTCTTATGCATTTGCTCTCTGATGCTGTTTAGAAGATCACTGACTGGCACATTGATGAAGCCTATATATTGGCATTTCTCTAAACCCCAATCCTCGTACTCTTTCAACAAACTATCGGCCACAATCTTCATTACCGATATGGTGATATTGAGGTTGTTGATTTCTTTTTCGAAGAAGCTTGCTGATTTACCGTAAACGATGGAGACACCGCCGTAAAATTTCTCCTTCTGGTCGTTGGAGCCGCGATAAGAACGGTAATCGCGTCGATTCGGTTGTATTGTCACCAATTCCTTTCCGAATATACAACAGTCGACTTTCGTGTTCTTTAAAACCAGTTGGTCGTATTCCTTTTCCCAGGGGACAAAGACCTGTCGTTGCATATTGATAATCGATAAATATTAAGGCTCTTGATCTCTCGCCGTGGACAACTCTTAGTTGATGACGTGAAAGGCGAGAAAACGCATATCTGAAATCTTTGCGTGCCATTTTCAAATAAAAAGATATTTGTATGAAAAATCGTTTGAGCATACTTGTAAAATACTTTGGGAACTACCCAAATAGCACAGAGAAAAGAATTCAGTCGTATGTCACCAATTTTGAATTCATTTATAGATGCAAAAAGAATTCTTTCCACTGAACTGAACTCTGAAGAATTCTTTTTGCATCTGAAAATGAATTCAGAATTGGTGACATATGACTGAATTCTTTTCGAATTCTCTGTGTTATCTGGATATCCTTCTCTCTTGATAGTCAATAAATAGCCGTAAAATTAATAGTAGGTATATATGTTCGCTATATATTTGTATACATAACAAGTATATATGTAGCGTCATAGATGTGTGACGCACCGATCTTTCGCTTTAAATTTATCGTTATATTTAAAAATTTCAATTTTATTTAATCCTAAAATTTTCAATTTTAATTTAATTTCAATTTTAACTTTAATTTTAATAAAAATTCCAAATTTAAATGTATTAAATGAATAAAAATCATATTTAAATGTATCATGTCTATAATATTGTTGAAACACCTGCTGTTTCTATATAGTCAAAAGAGATCGAAATTTGAGAGTAAAAAATTTCTGTCTTCCTTTTACAATTGTTTATGCCGTGCAGCCCCATTTACTGCTTAGCGGACACCATTTAGGAGACATTGTTGAAATCAGTCTTGACGTTGCGATTAAAAATCTTCATGTTAAGTCAATATATATATTTGTTAAATATATTTATATATGTCAATATATATATAAGTCAATATATATATTTGTTAAATATATTTATATATTATATATGTTTCATATATTTTTTTTTAAAGTTGCATTCTTCATCTTTAAGTGTCAATTGGTTTTATGTAATATGGCGTTATAAAAATATCTATAAATTTTCAAGTAAATAGCCTTTTTGTGATTAAGGAAATTTCTGCGGCCTTTAAAATTGGCACGCTAGAATTTTCAGCGTGTCATTTCTCGCTTCTGACGTCACAATCCAACATGGTCGCGGCGAGTACTCAGAAACCTTAATGCATTTTTCATTCGAGTGCGACTGTGAAAATAAACTCTATCCTTTGAAGACTAATCGGAATGTACTTTACATAGCACGATACGTTTCTACTGATATATGCGAAATTTATATGACAGCGCTATGATAAAGAGATGGAGATTATATGTGCGTCTGTACTCGCAATATACTATTATTGCACTTACAATCTGCAATAACGATCGGTACACATTCTCATATGCAAAGCGTCATAAATTCAACGAAATGTGTGTTTTTGATTATCAGATCGAAACAGAGAGAATATTCACTCACGTTGTCCACAACGATCTCCAGCATCATTAAGTGCGCATCGTTTGACGAGATAAGTGAAGCCATTATTCATTAGTTAATAGACTGTGACATCGTGTGAGTCGTGATCTTATTTCATTGTTCCACCTCGCGTTGACATTACGACTGGTTTGGTGTAACGCTGAGATTAGACCGGTTAGAAACCGTATTTTACCGGTATCTTGTTTCCATATACTATAATTTGCTCGAGCGCAACATGTACCCGAAACTAGCCGAAGCTAACGCCTGTTGCTCACCTCGAAATGCACATCGATATCCAATGGATCTCTGCGTTTGCTCGAAAGCAAAGGCTAAGGGCCGTCATACGCGGATTTATATAAACGCGTTTGTTTTTGGGCAAAACTATATATTCATGACTGTATCGGGAAACTCAACTTCAGCCTTACTTCACTGCATACCTTGTAAGAACGGAAAATAACTACGAGTATACGGTGCCTCGCACTCGTGGAAAGTGGAACATGAGGGCGGACGGGAGAACATTGAGGTCAACGACCGCCTGTTTACGTTTTATGCGAGCTGACTTCAATTTTAAATTTTGATTAATGAGAAAAATTCATTTCTTTTTTTATCGGATACCGATTGCAGGTATGCAGTAATGTGGCATTTCGAAATAATATCGGAAGCCAGCATGGCGGTCAATCACATATTTTTCCGTTTATTTGATTTGCGTATAGTACGTCACACAAACTTGCGGGGCTTGAATGCATAAAGGATTATATTAAAGCGTAAAGATTGACTTACTTGGCTACATTGTACAAGAAATGAATGTTACATGTCAAAATTAAATGGCGTAATGCCGCGAGCAGTAGTATTCGCGGATACAGATCTATCGCATCGGTAACAATTTGAGCGGATTGCATTATCGTTTGCGTTAATATTTCGACAAATATAATACAACGCGAAGGTAGCAATTACCGTTCACCATCCGGTGTCCGGTTCCTCTCGATTACTGTAATTCGTGGCTAGAATATGATACGCATTTGAAATTGGTTTCACCCTCTTCCCCCCCCCCCCC